GACAGCTGTTGCTGCATCAGGAGCTGCTGTTTCCTGAAGCAGGCCCAGAAATGAGTACAAGCGCTGCATTCTGGAATGGGAAGCTGAGCAGAGCTCCCTTGTGCAAGCTTTGCTGACTAACCCTGTTCTGGAAATAGTTGTTGCTACACTTTTGCAATCACTTGGGAACCATGAACATACCCTGGTCCTAGTGACAGATCCCACTGGGGCACAGGCATGGCTGGAAACTGCCCTCAGCCTGCAACTAGCCCATTTGCACTTGCAGTACCCACAAGGATGAAATATGATTTATTTGGCTCATCTTCTTCTTGCCAAACCTGTATCTCCTCTTCTGGAACACTGGCTGGCTTTATTAGGCAGCCCTCTGTAACACAACAGCCTGGCCCAAGGAAAAGACTGGGCAGAGAGAGCAAGTGGTGGTACCAGTCTGCAAAACTGGCTGGAAATAGGACAACAACAAAAGATGAGCATCTGCAAGGAAGGGTGCAGGGCAAGTAACACAGCTGCGTATGCCAATCCATCACCAGGCAGCCAGTAACTGACTCAGAGACACCCTCACCACCTTATACAGCAGCTTAAGCTCCAATTCCAAGCAATGCTGTGTTTTAAAGAATTATATACTCTAGTCCAATGAACACAAATGAAATTGTATAAGATTCTGTTCAGAGGCTGAAGCAGGAGCATATCTAAGCAACTGCTAGGAAGTGTCTCCCTTTCAGGATTCTAGGTTCAATTTTTCACCCAGGGAGCCCATATTAATGATCTACTTACTGGTTCCCCATTTGGCCACTAGAGGTCACAAGAAAACTATCCCTATGCTTCAGACTGGTCCATTAGTACCAGACAAGACACAAGAATTTCAGAGGAAATGACTGTGTTTTGTTTTGATTTGATCTGTTTTGTGGAACAATTCAGGTTGCTGCAATAAAAAGGTGAAAACAAAATTAGGGTTGGCTTGTGATGTTCCCAGAATCTGCTGGGATGTGGTGTGATGTTGCTTTAACACATATAGGAAACATGTTGGAATGTCTATAAGGCTAATCACCACATAGAGAGAGGAAGGTGGGGAGAGATCGCAAAAGAGAAAATATCATAGGATCTACAAAGGACGTTAAAATGGTCCTATGGGGAAATCCTTAACTGCAAGACAAAGCCTGTGTTGCCCTTCAAAAGGGTATGGGGGGGGCGTGTTGAAGTCACTGAACTTGGAAGGATTATACTTGTCCCAGAAATTGCAGAGAGATGTATAAGTGGATGCAGAGTTAATGTTAAGTACCTAGTCCTCATGTAGCAGAGGTTTCTAACTAGGGTTTCTGGTTGTCAGAGAGCAATGGAAAGACTACCAGGATTTCATGATTGCACACAAGTGTGAAAATTGCTACTAGGTAGAATGTTTAGCAACTACCACAAAAGGAATCTAAAATAGCTCTAAATATCAGAAAGAGAGATATTTGGAGTAGTCATAAAAGATACAGCCTTAAACTACCATCTGGAAATGTTAGAAGAAACCAAGAATTTGCCTTGATAAAAAGTTCTCATTTTGAGGGAAAAAAATATATTAGCGTCACCATTTACAGTATTTGGCATCCTGAAATGTTAATGCATTTGTACTTTTCCAACCAGTGCATGAAGAAATCTCAGAATTTAGGGGAAAGAAAAGATGAAAATGAGGATTTCCTGTGGTCAGGAAGAGAACTGTCTGATTGCTTTGCATAATTGTCATAATTACTTTGCCCTTCCCTGTAACTAGCAAAATCAAAACTGGGCAAAACAAATATGCAAGCTTGCTCAATTTGCCTAAATTACTTGCATGGAATTTGGAAGCTTCTTTTATGTAAAGCTCCAAAGAGCCAACAGCTCTCATGTTAATTATTCAGCAACAAATTAGTTCTCATGTATAATGTGGCAAAACATCTCAACTTCAAGTATAAGCTAATGGGGTCTGAGCTAGGAACAACTGACCAAAAAAGAGATCTTGGGCTTGTGGCAGACAACCTCATCAAACCATCAACCCAGTGAGTAGCTAGGTTGTGTGAATGGTGGAAAAGGCAAATTCCATGTTAGGTATAATTAGAAAAAGAATTGAAAATAAAATTGCCAATATCATACTGACATTCTAGATATCTACAGTACAACCAGTGCTGGAATACAATGCATAGCTCTGGTCACTGTGCCTAAACTGAAAAAGGGGGAAGAAGGCAATTAAAATAATCAGGGGAATCAAAGTCTTCTCTGACAAGAAAAGATTACAATATCTGGGACTGTTTACCTTAGAAAAAGGGCAGAAACATGTATGTATGGTGTGGAGACATACACATGCTATTGCTGTTAATAATAATAACAATAGCAACAACCATTATTAGCTGGGAAGCTGAGTAAATCATAAAGAAATAAATGCAAATTGGACAAATTGCAAATTTATCTCCCTTTTTCATAATACTAGAACCCAAAGAAAGTATTTCTTCATATGTAGCACATAGCTAAACTATAGCTAAATTCCCTTCCACAAGATGTGATGGCCAACAATTTGGATGAGTTTAAAAGGGGACTGGACAAATTCACAGGGAAGTTGGTTATCAGTGTCCGATGGCCACGTACTACTTCCAGTATCAGAAGTACTATACTTAAGTATGTAAGAAGAGCCTTACTGGATCAGACCAAGGGGGCCATCTGGTACAGCATCTTGTTCAAAAGGAAAGATCCAACTATGCAAAGGTCATTCTATCATTTGGTTTTACATTCTTGTCTCCAGGATAGAAATAGTTTTCCTCATTCTTTTATCAAAGGTAGTCCAACAGTGGACTCTTGATACATTGGATGACATATTAACTCCCTCTCTAATTATTCCTAACATGGACCTTGTCTTATTCACAGCAGCCACATAACTGGGGTAGAAAATTTTATTGAGCAGCCAACCACAATCACAAGATCTCTTTCACACTCAATTAACAATTGCTCAGCTTCTATCAGCTTATACCAGAAGCTGGGTTGTTTTTTTTTTTTTGTCCTAAATATGCATCGCTTTCCACTTGCTTGTATTGATCAGCATTGGCTATTTTGATGCCCATTCTCTCAGTTTGGAGAGATCCCTTTGGAGCTCTTCCTCACAATTCCTATTGTCTTAAACAATTTAGTGTCATCAGCAAATTTGATCACTTCTCTGCTAGCTCCTAATTCTGGATAAGGTATGAATATGCAGAAACGCCTCAGTCCCACTCCAGATTCTGCTCACAAATTAAAAACCCAAACAGCTTTTCAATAAATCCACATCTGGGTTATTTTCCTCACACTGTCCAAAAATTGGGACCTGGACTCAGCGTGAGCTTCCAAATAGCCTTTGCCAAGAACCATCTGTCCCCAGCGGGACCCCACTGTTTACCTCCCTCTGTTAGGAGGATGTATCAGTCCCTGCTCCTCTCAGCTTTCTGTTCTTTAACCAGTTACTAATCCGTAACAGGCTCTTCCCTCTTATTCCGTGACTGCTAAATGTGCTCTGGAGTCTGGTGAGGGGCTCTGCCGACACTTTTGGAGCACTAAAGTTTTGAGGTTTTTAAATACTAAAAGGCTTTCAGGTACCAGAAGACTAAATCATCTCATGAAGCTGATTGGGAGGAGATGCAGGACAGAGAAAAGGAAGCACCTCTTCACATGGTGTGTACTTTAACTATAGAATTCACTTCCACAAGATGAAATGATGGCCGTAATTTGTATGACTTTAAAAGGAGATGGGGCAGATTTATGGAGGAGAATGTTACCAGTGCCATCATCAGAGTCCTGATGGCTATATGCTGCGTCTAGTAACAGAAGTGGCATGCTGTGTTGTAGGGGGGGATGTGAGCAGGAGGGTGTGAGTGCACGCATCCTGCTTCTGGGTACAGAATGCCTGACCCTCGGGGTGGGCCAGCAGGCTCTTCCTGTGTTCTTGCCAGGGCAGACAGCAAAGCTGTCTCTTGGTCTGCCTGGGCCCCGTCTGCCTTCCCGAGAACTTTATTAATGCTGAGAAACTTCTTTTGCTTGGTGTAGGACAATCCTCCCTAACTAGCGCCCCAGGCAGCATGTGGAACTCTCATTGCTCCCAGCTAGTTGGGAATGATGGGGTTTGTAGTCTAATACTTCTAGAGGCCATAAGGGCTGCAGGAAAGTGGAAAGGCTCGCTCGGAGCATCTGGACGTCCCTCTTTCCCCTTACTGATGGATGTTACACAGCTCTGTCGTCTTCCAAGGACAGCTGGGCTCTTACAGAACTCAGACATACTCCTATGTCTTCTGCCATGCCTCTGAGGTACAGAGGAAGGCTGGGATCAAACCACGTGGTTGCTTCTTTAGCTGATTCTCTGGACAGAAAATAAATCAACTTTGGAAGCAAGTTGGCCTCAGCCATAAAGCACGTTTTAATAGATGTGTTTTCACACACATCCCAGAATCTGCATTCTTATCTCCCAGCACCCTGAGCCTATGGTCCCCCCCGCAGCCCGGACTGTATGGAATGTAACACACATAGATCTCTCTGGGACCTTAACAAGACTGCAGAGCCTTGCATTTGGACTCTGGATAAAGCTAACACAAGTTCCCTTTTATCTAAAATCATAGCATTGAAGTATTAAGCCACCCATCTTTAGACCACTTCAGATACTCTGCAAAACCAATCAAGCATTCAGTAGATTCCATGGCGCAAGAACTCCCAGTCTGCCTTGGGAGACTCTGGGAATGCAGCATAAAAGGAGTTGGGAAGCATACCTTGAAATGCACCATTCATCTACTATGCACACCACTTTCACAGGCCCGTCCTGTACCCAGAAGCCCTCAGAAAGATTTGTTGGCCAGCTTGAGGGTTACAAAGCACCCACCTGGGCCACCTGGACTGTGGTGATGGCTGGGCACTGAGGAAGTCAAGAAAGACAGTGGAGGCCCCTGGAGAAGGCAAGGGCCAGAGGCATCCCAGTTTTTCAGGGAGGTTTCCCTTCCCTGCTACCAAGGGGATGGAGGACAAAATGCACACTCCGTAGCCATTCTAAAGCAGAGGTCTGTGTTGACATAAAAGTGGGTCTGGGGAAATCCTGCTATGTTTTCTACCGTGTCCCGTGGGGGACTGGGGCGCCTCCTCCTCGCGCCCTCTCTTTGGCTGCACTAGTACTCCCGGGCTTCCTGCAGCTGAGAGAGGAATTCGTCCTCCGGGGGGTTGTCAGCACACCGCTGCCCATTATTGGGAGGCCGCACGGCATGGTACCTGCTCCAGTCCCCCTTGCAGAGGATCCACGGCAGCATGTCCACCTTATAGTGCAACTCGGGGGAGAACTCCGTGCTGATGAGGTTGGGCGCTCCAGCCCCCTTGCCCCGGGTAATGAGCCTGGTGTTCTCGTCGTAGCAGCAGTGCTGTGCAGCCAGCGTGGTGCTGTCCAGGGAAAGCATCGAACGCAGGCAGAAGCGGGCCGTGGGTTTGTAGATGTCCAGCCGCTCTTTGGGTCCGCTGGCATCCCGCCAGCGGAAGTTCTTGCCTTGCTGCTCATCTCGCAGGTTGACGGCACTATAAACAGCTTCGAGGGGGTAGGAACAAGGACAGCTGGGCAGGTCTGATAAGACTTTGCTCAGGTATTTGTTGAGGAAGTCACTCTTGCAGTTTAGCCATTTCTCACAGCTGTCCATATCTATGAAAAGAGAGAGACGCACACAAACACGCGTACCACAAAATCAGCAATAAGTCACTGGCAGTTTATTTTGGCCAGGGCAGCAAACATTCTAAGGCTGTGAGTGATCCTTTTTCCCAGTCCTCAAGCCAGAGGTTCTTTCAATCACCTTTGCTCAACCAGGTGACCTTCAGATGCCTTAGACTACTGCTTTGATCATCCCCAGTCAGCAAAATGGGAGCTGTAGCCCAAAAAGGGTGAGCAAATGGGAAAGGCAATAAGAACGCAGAAAAGGGGTCACAAGAGGGAAAGCAGAGACTGTCTAAAGACTATTCAGGATTGTATAGTCAATACCAAAAGATGTATTTGCTTGCCATAACAGAATGCATTTATATTCCCATTGCTTGGGTGCCAAGTAAATCCATGGCATAGCAAATTGCGATGGACGAATCTACCAGTTATGCTTTTTCTCCTCTTCTCCTATTTCCTTCCTATTTTTGCATCAGTTCGTAATATTTTTAGTGAAATGTCCTTGCAAAAATCTGTACACATTTCTGTGTTTCTCCTGATATGCACAATGTCTGTACGACATTTTGCCTAATATACGCACTTTTGCAAGCAACTTCCCTAATGTATTTCATGCTACTTTTAAAAATATATGCATTAGCATACACACTTTCGCCAAATCTATGCATTTTTTCACACATCTTTTTCTTCAGAGAACTGCACGGCAAAATGTGGAGAAGAGAGAATACTGACGGTTAACAGTGCTTTGGTTTGTGCATTGGTTCAGGAACTGCAAATTAGGTAAATTTCTCGCCATCCCTAATGCAATGATCAGTCCGTTTGCCCTAAGAATGAGGACTTTACTAACCTGCGTTCAGGATCCCTGTGGCATTCTCAGCTTCAAATGGTGTCTCCTCAGTGGCAAAGGCCAACTCGCCATCTGTTCCTTAAGAAAACCACAGAAGCATAAGGGTCAGAGTGAACCTCCTAAAACACAACACATTCCATTTGAAATACGTTAGAGGAAGAGAAAATGTATTTCGGTACATGGAGGCCCAAAAACTTGCTTTTGACCCACAAAGTTGCTTTCCCTTGATGAACTTGATACATTAAATGTACCAAACAGCTGAGAAAAGAAACAATAGCTGAGATTTCCAGGATTAAAAGGTCTGTGGATTTAATTAAGGCTTTCAACAAAACCATCACAGTGAACTTGCTGCTTCATGGAAATGTACGCTGACTTTCAAAAATGCCCCAATTTGCTTCTGATAGACAAATAGTGTTTGCCCTCTTCCAGACGATTGCCAAATAAGGGACGTGAAGAGTGAGTGGTTGTTCTCAGCATCTGGGATGAAGGGGCAGAGGTGGTTTTTGGCCAAACATTATTTTTTCCCCCTAAAAGCATCTTATTCTAGTTCTCTTGGCATGATTGGAAAGCAATCTCTAAAATCTAGAGATGGCACACTTTCCAACTGAGAGAGCAACTCAGGTCACACCTAAGGACAAAGCATGCTGGAAGCCGCACAGGCATGGTTTGTCGTAACGCGTCAACCCAGCATCCACGATGAAGCATGGCACAATTGGAGGCATTACACTTGTAAGGTTTCCATGCTTCTCCATTGCTTGCTGTCATGCGTGACTCCAGTTTCCACAGGGTCTGCACATTTCTGCCAGCGATCAGCAGTCTTTAAGCTCCCGTTCTTCCCTGCTTGTGCACAGCCTTCTGATGCCTAGCCCCGGCCATGTGACCCCGCTGGCAGTGGCCATCACGACACCCCCCTGCAGCAGCAGCAACTGGGAAAAGGGCTGTGCTTGGCGCTCCTACCTGGTCACTGCCCTGTACTGGAGCGGAGCCTGTTCGAGCCACTCCGGGAGCTAACCGTCCCCGCATGTGGAGGCTGCCCTGCATGTGAGGCACACGTGGGAGCAGCCGGGACTACAACCACAGGGTGAGCGCCCCAAGGAGCCCACGGCTGCCTCCCATTCTGCCTCCCGCCCTCTGCCCCTTCTCATCTTGTCTGTGCAAGTCTCCAAACTCCCCGCTAAGCCCCACTGTGCAACCCCACAGCTGAAGGACTAGCACTTCCCAACAGCCTGTTGGCAAACCTGACCCAGAGAGATGCCCATGCGGGAGGCCGCGGGAAAGCGAGTCCAGCAGGATGGCCCTCCTAGGCGTTCCTGGACAGGCGCCCACGCTGATGCCCGCTGAGTGCGAGGGGGAAAGGCCCTGGCAGCATGTGCAAGACCTGTGCCCAGGGCACCATGGACACTTCTGCAGGGAGGGAGGTGGGTGTGCTTGCGCACTAGCACAGCTTGTGGCAGCAGCGGGCAGCGCAACTCTAGTGCAAAAGCACTTCTCCAGCAAGGAGGCAGTTACTTTGCTGAGCAGCCAATGAACCCAACCAAACCCAAACGCAGGAGGGCAGGTGGGCTGATGAAGGAGAGGCCGGAGCTGCAGGCAGGAGCGGTGCACCCTGGGATTGATTTTTAGCTGCAGGGGCTGATGGGATATATGCTGCCCTTTGGAAGGAAAATGGACAAGCAAGGAAACCACGCATGCGTAGAAACCATGTGACTGTGCGAGCCCAAGGCACAAGGTGAGATGTCATGCTGTGTGGTTACTGGCAGCATCTCTTAGCTTTGTGCAGGCAGAAACTAGTGCACAATCTGACACTGAACTGATAGCTTTGAACTGTTAAAGCAGCATCCCCCAGTCTGGACCACTCCAGATGCTCCAGATGACAACTTGCACCAGCCCAAAACCAATGGTCAGGAATGCTGGGAGCCATCACCCAACCCACCTGGAGGGTACTAGTTGGGGATGCACAGCATTTTAGCCTACAGAAAAGTTGTGGACCAGAAAACAGGATGGGAAGAAGAGAAGGTGCAGGTACCAGGACAGCGCTGCAGGTCACAGGTTCTTGACTCCGTGGCAGCACATGCATAACCACAAGACCTGGTTCTCTTCTGGTTGCCACTGCCACACGTTACACTGCAGGGAGACCAAGAGCTCCACTCTTCCTCATCTTCATAGTCTGAAGAGGGCGAGAAAATGGAAAGACACACAAGGGTCTTCAAAGCCTAAATGAGACCAAGTTGAAGTCTTTCTGTGCTTTTCTCTTTCCATCTTCCAGAAGTCTAATGCATGTTCCAGAAGTCTAAACACTGTAAGGAGAAAGTAGAGAGAGAGACCTTTTCTCTGTCTCCCATTACATGTGAACCTGGGTTGAACTCTTGAAGCTGATTGGTGTGAGCTTTCAGGCAGATAAAAGGAAGTACTACTTCACACAGCATATAGGTAAACTGTGGAATTCACTGCCACTGGAAGTGATGATGAATGGTGATGGCCACCAATCTGGGTGGCTTTGAAAGGGGATTGGATAGATACATGTGGAACGAGCCTATCAGTGCTGGCTATGTACTGCTGCCTGTTCTAGACCCCTCTCCTTCAAACCTATAGAGAAGATTAGTGGGGGGCATCTCATATTGTATTCTGTCTGTTTCTGTGCATCCACGGCAGAAAAACAGAAATGCTCCCCTCATAGGGAGAATATCAAATGAGGCAGTTGTCATCTATCAGTTACACCAGTGGCCTTAAACCTAGTGAGGTTTCTTGACGATGTGTTCGAGAAAAAAAGAACCAATACTGAAGGACGCAAATGGGGTTGGCTGGGATTGCCATAACTATGGGATTTGTTATGGAAACATCAGGATATACGTCAAAGTTTCCTTTGATGGATTATTTATGTTGACTGCTTCTGGGACTCTCAGTTTCACCGAAGAGGGGCAAAAACAGAAGACCAGGGAATCTTGAATGGAAAAGACACTCTTGGTCCACGAAAAGGAGTTAATATTCTTCCTTGTCCCATAGTGGGCAACTCACCTACAAAGGGCAAGAAAATGACTCACCATAATTATACTTCTCTTTGAAGACCCAGTTCTTCTGATTGGGCCACCTCTGATCCCAGTCTCCTCCCACTCCACTCAGCACAGTTTCCTCCTCATCATACTCAGAAGTATAGTCTTCTTCCTCCTCCTCTTCACCTCTGCTCCTTATGTCCAAGCTGTCATCTTCATCTCCCTCTTCTACCGGGTCTGTGTACTCCCAGAACAGTGGCCAAAAGAGGTCTTTATGGGACAACCACTCAGAAGATGTCAAAGACCAGTCATTGCTGGTCTCCTTCAGCAGGTCCATCTCCATCTCAGCCTGAGGATCATCCACTACCTCAATGGTAACCTGGGAGTCAAGGCATGAGATAAAATGGTTTCAGGAGCTCTAGTGCTAAAGCGCAACCCCCTTTAAGAGCAACGACATGGATTCCCCTCAAGTATCTTGTTCATACCTTCATACCTTCTCTCTGACCAAGACATTCACTCTGACACTTCTCCTTACAATGCTTTCTTCATTTCTAACTCTTCTCCACAGCTGCCCATGTGATTTTCCATTGTGTCAGCTTCCAAACCTGACATTCTACTTCAGTGCAAATATTATACCATCAAAATGATGAATGAAATCTGTTCTCAAGTCAGGTACTCTGCAGTCATGATGTAACCAATCATTGGTTACCATTTGCCAAGGTAGATTCAGGTGCAAATATCTCCCCAAGGATAAGATGCACTAACAACCAGATCATACGCACGCATGTTTGCACAACTGGCAGTCGGTTAACAAGACTCTCTGGTTTGTTAACTACAGTATACTTGCTGGATGCCTGCTGGGGAGTATTTGCCTAATACAGTGGTACCTTGGCTCACAAACTTAATCCGTTCCAGGACTCTGGTTGTGACCCAAATTGGTTGTGACCCAAGTCAAATTTCCCCATAAGAGTCAATGTAAATAAGGTTAATCCATTCTGGCCCCTCCAAATGTGGTTGTGAGCCAATTTTTGGTTGTGAGCCAAGTCAAATTTCCCTATAAGGTTCAATGTAAATAAGGTTAATCTGTTCTGTAACTATTTTTTTATCAGAAAAATTTGAAACAAAGTGACAAAGTACTGTACAGCACAGTGGAGAACACTAACCTAGGTGAGGGGGGAGGTTATCGTTTTGAGAGAGAGCCCCCCTCTATAAGGACATTGGGGAGATCTCTTTCAGGGGTTTCCTCTCTTCTTTGTCTCTTAGCTGCAGGGTCAATTTTGGTGAAAAATCTGTCTATAGTCACTTGTTTTTTCCTGCATCGCATAACCCTCTGGAAATGAGAGACCACGTTATTGTTCATCAGATTCAACACTCTGTTCGTTACAATTATGTTGAGGTGGTGCTTCTCAAAGAAATCCTGGCACTCATTCCATTTTTTCTTAATGGATTGTATCACATCACTGCTAACCTCCTCCCCGTCTTCCTCTTCCTCAGTGGAATCCTCCTCAGAAAGCGCCTTCTGCTGCTCACTTCGCAGTTCAGCAAGTTCTTCCGTCGTCGGCTCCTCTATGCCTTCCCTGCACGAACGCAACTGCGATCGTGGCCATCTCCACACTCAGGCGGGGTGGAGGGTGGGGAGATGGCCGCGATTGTGCTGGTTGGGGAGGGGGAGATGGCCGAGATTGCACCCGTCTTTCCTGCGGGAGCACGCCCGTGATCACGCACGCCTTCCCTGCACGAAAGCAACTGGATTGTGGCCATCTTCCCACTAAGGGCGGGGGGAGATGGCCATGATCTTGGTTGCCACCCAATGCGAAGTTCATGACACAAGTCAAAATTTTCATGAAATTTTTGTTCATGACCCGATTTGGTCGTGAACCAAGGCGTTCGTGAGCCGAGGCACCACTGTAACATACAACGGCATGGGCTTGTTGTTCTGCAACCTAACTTCCTAGCAGTTGCTGACTTCCTACTGATCCTGTGAACCCAGTCAAGAAGTATCATTGGGCTCTACAAACACACTCCAAAGTACATGTGCATTCAGATGCAACAGGAGGCAGCAAACAAGTTATGTCAGCACAGGCTCCTACAGCCATTGTGTGAGACATTCAACAATACACAGAAGCCATCCTTATTGCAAAGGTGGAAGATGGATGCAGACTACCAGCTTTCCAAGAAGGGATCTTTAGGGGCTGAGTTCCTACAATAAAAATCACAGGCACCACTGCCAACCCTGAGGAGCTAATTTATAAGAAGAAAATCTAGTGCAGACCTCCCCAGTCTAACCTGCTCCAGATTTATTGGAGGATGTCACTCCCAGGACAATGGAGCTGCTGGCCTGAAGAGAGGGAGTCAAGCTGGGGAAGGGTGATGTGGTTGCTGCAGAGATCACAAGACCTCTGCTTCATACTATCCAGTTTCATATGGCTCTCCTGAGTGGCCAGTTAAGAAGTCTACCTTAGCACATGCTGAGAAAATGGGTCAGCTGAATCCTCAACATATGTTCTCATTATTTGTTGTAAAAGACAACAACAGCTGAACAGCATAAACAAGGGAGGGACACATAAAGCAGCATGAAGGCAACATTGTTTGGTATTGGAAACAAAGCTGAGTGCACACTTTAGCTACTAAACCAGCATCAGACAGAGGTGTCCCTTCCTAAAGTTGGGCACCAGAAGATTCCTATCTTAGGAACCAGAGTTGCTACCTTGGTTCTTTAAATCCACCTTTCAGGGGGGCCAAAGGCAAAAACAGCAAACAAACAAAAAGGGAAACAACACACCCCAAATACCAGTATTTTCAGCTGAATGTTCTTACTGTTGGTAGCCAAGCCTTAGAAGGAGCAATTCAACATTTTGGAATGGGGATAAAACTGCATGAAAGCCAGGAGACCTCCAAATGATTGACAGTCAGGGGAAAGAGGGTGGGGAAGGAAGGGGAAGGGGCCCTGTTACTGGAAAGGGGACTTCCATGAGCTAGACTTGGCCCATGACCCAGAGGTTCTTCTCCCCAGCTCTGGAGAGGGAAGAGGGCTGTTGCTTTGCACATTGAAGGACACAGAGCCCAGCAAGCAAGAATTCTCAGATACAGCAAACTCCTCCACAGAATCACTATAGGAACCGATGTTGTTGTTATCCAGGGGGACATATTATTGCTCCCTAAGCAAAATGCTCAGGTTGATCATATGTCAGCGAATGAAATCAGGGCAGAATCAAAAAGAAATACTTATCAAGAAAGGTGACTTCCAGAATATCATGTAGACTGGGAAAAGGTATGTTCCCATCACAGCTAAGATTTGTCCATGCCTATACCTTGGAACAGCTGATCATGCAGTTACAGAGCGGATGCAACCCTGGACTTAATCTTGAGGGACATTCAGTGTGTGGTGTGATACTTAAGTGTTGTTGAACCAACTGGAAACTGTGATCACAGTGCTATCAAATTCAGCAAATGTACAAGTGGACAGATGCCACAGAAGTCTAAATCAGTGGACTTCAAAAGAGAAAACTTTTCAAAAGGGGTTCATAAATGAAATTGGAAGGGAAACTCAAGGGTCACATTTGAACAGAGAGCTTGGGGATTATTCAACACCACAATCACTGAAAATAGCCCACACATCAGGAAGGGAACCACCAAATCCAAGAGAAAAACAGTGGTTAATAGGCAGAATCAAGAACACTATTAGAAGGCAAAAGACTTCCTTCAAAAATTGAAACCCTTCCCAAATGAAAAGAAAAATGAACACAAACTGGAACCAAAAGCAGCAGCAACAGACTGTAAGGGATGTAAAAAATCATAGCTCACATTTTTAACTAAATTGTTAGGACACTGAATACATAGGAGCAGAGACCTGGCTATGAGAGCAGTTGGACTATTAAAAGACAAGGGAGATAAATCTGTGCTAAAGGTGGAAGCGATTGCAGGAATATTGAAATAATTATTTGAATCTGCCTTCACCTTGGAAGATGTACAGTTACACGTGGACTGATGAGTAACTGAGGCAAATAGTGTTGACAAAAGATGATGTTCTAGACCCTACAGGCAAATTACTCATTAAAACATAACTAGATCTGGGTGGTATCTGGGAATTCTTAAAGAACTCAAATGTGAAATTTCTGATCTCCTAACAAAATTATGTCACTGGAAAGCACGCAACACAATACCAATTTTTTAAAGGGATCTTGAGAAAGGATACAGTCCTAGAAATTATAGGCCAGTTACCTTAACAGCTGTCCCAGCTAAATTGTGGAAAGAATGATTAAAGATAACTATTTGTACAACTGAAAATCTTAAGAAGTGGAATCCTCAAAGGTTTTGTATTGGAACCCGTCCATTTTAACGGGTTCACAAATGCCTGAGGGTAAGCTGTGATATGGCTACACTTGCTGATGACATCACCAAACTAAGAGATTGAAAGGAGCGCCAAGAAGATTTCTCCAAAGCAGGTGTATCACAAACACAGTTCAAAGTAAGTGCCAGGTAATGCGCCCTGAGGCAAAAAATCCTAATGTCACATATACACTGATGGGGTCTGAGCAGGTACAACATAGCCAGGAAAAAGAACTTGGACTCAAAGTGGACAGCAATGTTCACCCAGCGTGTAGCATCCATGTAATAAAAAGAATTCTGCCCTTGGCATAATTAGGACAGAGCTCAAAAATAAGATAACAAACATGATGATATTTTCATGCCATTCTATGATGTATTCACATTTGAAATATTGTGTACAGCTCTTGCCACTGTATGATGCAGGAAAGGGCAACCAAGCTGATCAAGAGCTTGGAGCAACTTTTCTGTAAGAAAAACTTACAAGGTTTGAGACTTTTGGTTTAGAAAACAAGAGCAAATGAGGGGAGACGTATTAGAAGTTTATGGAATTATGCATGGGGTAGCAAAAGTAGATTCTTTTTGCTCCTTGCTCATAAATTGGATCACCCCCTTGGCTGAATGGTGGGAGGTCAGGGCAGTACTTCTTCACTTGTGCACAGTTAAACCATGGAATCTGCAACCACAAGGTGAAGTGATGGCCATCCACAAGCTAACTTTAAAAGTGGATTAGACCAATTCAGGGAGGGGGATGTCACTGGTTACTAGTCCTGATGCCTAGACAGCACCTTCACTATTGGAGGCAGTTTGACTTTAAGTACATGTTTCTGAAGAACAGTATCAGGACAAAATTCTCTTGTGAATTTGCTTGTGAATTTCCAGATTCATAAAATTCTCTTGTGAATCTGGTTGCCAACTGTGGGGAACCCAATATTGGATTAGATAATGTTTTGGTCTGGTGTAGTGTGGCTTTTGTTTCTAATACCTGCTAATGACAGGAAGCATTTATTGCTGTCTCCATTTACTGAGAAGTGCTTTTTTAATTTTAAAAAGAGAGCTGCCAGAATTCAAGTCTGTCTAGAAGCAGGAAAGCACAGGACAGAGAATATAAGACCTCCCGGGGCCGAACTTGCCTGGGTGCCAAGGTCCCCTCCCATTTTCTATCCTCATATGAGCAGGCTAAACACCCGCCTAGCCTGTATCTCATCAGAAGGCAGCGAAGTGACAAGGCACAATACTTTGCATGCTAAAACAGACAAAAGGACTGCGATGCCCAGCGTGCCTCAGCCAACACGGCTGGAGATGCTGGAAGTTGCCGGTCTTTTTTTCTGTCTCGACATGTGCAAGTGATGTATGTTCTGAAAGATCTAGTCCACATGTGGCAAAGAACCCACAGTTTGTTAATCATGTCTTATTGATAATGAAATGGGAGCGACTCCGGACTCCCATTCTGTTCTCACTGTGTTAAACAATGCAGGGATGCTTCATCTCTGGGTTGTTTATTATGCTGTCTGAATCCAGAACTGGAGGATGTTGGAGTGGGTTACAACTCAAACATGTAGCTCACTCCAGCAACCTCGAGTTCCAGGTTTGGACATCCCAATAAATAAGCCAAGGCAAGAGAGTCCCTTGTTTGTTTAACTTAGAGGGCTCATTCAGTTGAAAGCCAGCATGCGTGCTCCCAGTTGTTCACAGCTACCCAGGGTTTGTTTAAACAGGTTTGTTTACGTAATCCAATCCAGCTCTTTTTTTTCTTTTTTTTTAGGTAAGCTCTGGCACATATGTAAGAACCCCTTTCCCTGCTTTTTTCTGGCACAGTTGTGGCATTCACACTTCTTTCTATCACTGCAAAGGAGCTGGGAGATGATCTCCACATTCTGGAATTAAATACGCTAAGTAATCAAACATCGGAAGTTTTAGCCTCCACAGAATTAGCAGTGAGGGGATGGTTATAACTTTTCTTTTCTTGATCATAATTCGAAAGACAGGCTAAAACAAAGCATTTTAAAGGCCAAGCAAACCTCCCATTAGGCTATCCATAATAGGCATCTCTTCAATGAGTGAAAAGTTTCTTCATATAAAGATTTATAGCAAGTTAACAGACTTTTACTATAAGTATGGAAATTGCTCAAAACTAACAAAGTCATTTCGTCTTGCTTTTGTGGTATCAACCAATATGAGACCTTAATCAAATGGAAAAGTTGACTCATCAGATACACTTATTCAGAGGTTTGGCCAAACCGGACATTTTTGCATAAAAACTGGCATCCTCTTATTTCTTTTGTAAATGGAGAACCTTCTGTTAGATGTTTTCTGTTGCAACACAAACCATTCTGGATTAACCTTATCGCAGTGTGAACTGACTGACGTTTTGAGAAAATGTTCTATATAACAGGATGTTCCAAAGCTTATCCACTTGATAACCTTTGTAGGTTTTTGTTTTTCAAAGCTGTACAACTTCTCCTCTTTCTTGTTATTCTTGTACTTAAAAAAGCATTAAGACGGTCACCAGCTGCCCAAGTAGGGGCACCTCTTACCGATGGCTAGCATCCACAAATGGCAGATTGGAATAAATACAGGAGGCTGCCTTTTATTGGGTCAGTTCCGCTGGCCCACTTTGTCAACATTGACTGGAAGCAGCTTTCAGGGTTTCAGGCAGGAATTTCTCCAGCTGTATGTGAAGATGCCAGGAACTGAAGCTGAGGCCTTCTGCACACAAAGCATCTGCTCTGCCACTGAGCTGTTGGCCTTCTCTCACATGCAGTGCTTTTACTAGCCTGAGCTAGTAATTCAAATGGATCTATTTGGCAGGTAGGGTCCACCCAGAGGGCGACACCCAGCACAGAACGCAACAGCCTGCCTGCCACGTGAAAACTGAACATGGCTCAGACATTGTGCTAACGTTCCCTTTAGCCTTCTGAGTGCAATTCAGTTTGTGGCTCTGTTGCATAAAGCCCTAAACGGCTGGGCCCCTCATGATGAAGAAACTGCTCCTTCCTCCTTATCTTTGCCCAATACCATAGCTGCATCATATCCAATCTAGGCCCAGGCCAGGGAATATCCTCCAGTGAAGATTCTGAGATCGATGAGGATGGGGTTCATAGGGCCACCTCCAGCATTCCTGTGGATACCCCATCTTCCCCTGAACAATCCACATCAGGCTGCCCAGCAACAGGCCCTGAAGATGTCCATGGACAGGGCTGCCCATAAACTTATCTTACCCAAGGAGTCAGAGGCAAAGAAGGCGGCTGAATGACCACAGAAGCAAGAAGCTGGGGGAATCGGGTTAAATACTTTCCATTCCAGTGTACCCGCTGTTGGAACAATACAGGTTCTATGCTCTGTGAAATCCAGCTGAATGTCTCATAGTTCATTTCTACTGAGACCATGCTTGTCCCTTGGCTTTCTCCTTTGCATCTGAATATGGTTTGCCACAGGCCAGCATCAGGAGAAGAAGCTATGATCGACCAAAAGTGCCCTTCTGACTGGATCTTCGTGCAGCAAGCCCAAGTGCAGCAAGCTCCTGGCGGCTGCTGGCTTCTCCTTGCACCTTCCCACATTCTTGCTCCAGCAGCTCAGGTCAAGACCAGCTGCCCAGTAACTCAGGGATGCTTTAAAGTTAACAATGGATTCCACCACTTTTGATTCATGTGTTCCAAGCCTTAAGACTAACCCTAAACAACCCAAGGACTTACTTGTATGTTTGGATTGTGAGCGCTTAGGTCCACGTTGGCTAATCCCGGCAAGTTCTGCAAGTCCAGCACAAAGGGCGTGCTCTCTTCCTGGCCGGCACCTCCAGGTTGGAGCGCTGCTGGCTGGCTCCTGGCAGGGTGCTGCAACGGCCAACGGCGTTTCTGCCGGCGTGGCACGGCCCGTCCATTTTGCCTCAGGTTCCGCACCTTGTTAGACTGCAACATCTCCTCTTCCTTCACTGTGGCGGTGTCAGATGAGGGGGAGATCTGACAATAAAAAGCGACAATGGAAGCATCAGCATGGCTCTTAATTCTCATCTCAGGGCTGAGATCATGCTGTTTCTCTTGCATCCTCGCCTAACGGATGTCAACAGCTCGCCCCATCACATTGGAAAGATGTGCCCAGGCCACCAGACTAACTGATCCAGCCTTCCCCAGCTTGGTGCTCCCCAGAAGCAACTCCCATCACTTCCAGTCAACACAGCCATGGTGGGAATAGCAGTCCAACACATCCAGAGAACACCAGAGGAAGGGAAGTTGACCTAACATAGCATGAGAGCCAGTATAGTATAGTGGTTGGATTACTGGGCTGGGACACAGGAGATCTGGGTTCTAGTCTCCCCTCAGCCAGAAACTTCACCACTGACTTTCAGCCAGCCATTGACTGTCTGCCTAACCTACCTCACATGGTTGCTTTGAGGATAAAAAGGAAGAGGAGAAAGACCACGTAATAAATCGCATGGCATGGCACGCACACACATTCCTGTACTTTGAGCTTGCCAGCTCATTATACATGCCTGCAGATTGCAGCAATGCAGTGGCGGAGTTAGGAAATTTTGCACTCTGCCCTTTATAGTCTTAACAGACACTCCTGCATCCTTTGAAGATGTTAAATGTGTATCAATTCACTTCAAAGGATGGTCGGCCCCTCCACTGCAACGCTGGTCCACAAGCAGTGTTATGAAACACGAACAGGTTAATCATCATTCAATCTCTGCACCTTAAGATAAAGTTCCACCACGTAGACCTTATTCACAGATCAAAAAAAAAAAAGTCCAAGTGCATTTAACTTTCATTAGCATTCATCCCTTGATACTTTTGCCTTATCTTGCTTCCTGTCTAAAAATGCAGATCACAGAATACTCAGAATAAGAACCTGCCTTCTCCTCAGATATTTATTTATTTATTTATTTATTTATAAGCACAATTTGCCATCCTTCTGTTGAAAATGATCTGCAAAACTGGGTAGCAACATTGTACAAGCAAACCATAACCAAATACCATCACAGCAACAGCACTCAATCAGCAAGAACTAACCAAAGGCATTAAGACAACTTACCTGTCTGCTATTTAAAATGAAATTTGAAACAACTCTTTAACTTCCTAGGAGGGAATTAAAGAACTAGATAACACCACCAGAAAGGCCCTGCCCTAGATAGCAGTTATCCTCTGCATGCCACACAGTGCAGAAATAAAGAACAAGTCTCCCAGAGATTATCTGAACAATTGCATCAGTTAATGTCGATCATTATAACCAGTGGCCCTATCAACTAGGAAATACCACTCATTCATTTGACTGCCAGGTTCCCAATTTCTACATCCTTCATTAAAATAGTGTAGGCCAAAATGGCTATAAATTTTAGTGTGTCAAAGAAATAAAGGCCAATTAAGTGCTTTTATGAATACACTATTGGAGCAAGCCAACGCACTCCTTTTTATGTATTCAGGCCAAACACATTCTGAAAAGTGGAAATTGAATGCAGGTGGGGAGGGGTTTTTTTTTCCGATCCGGATCTCATGTATGAAAAAAATCAGAATAGAAATGAGTAGGAGAAACTTTGTCAATTAAAAAACCACCCTAGTGAGAGGTATAATCCCTGGAAAAGATTTCCTTATACTCCAGTATTTAACACTTTCCACTGAGGATAATCTAAGTGTTCCTGGGAGGACCTGTTCCCAGGCACATTACGTCTTGCAGTTGGGAGCCATTTCCCACCATGCAGCCAAGTTCTCCAGGCTGTTTCCCAGCGTGCTACTACCTCTTGCTGCAGGAGCCCGGAATATGGCTGCAGGGCTGGGGGGAAAAGGGATGAACCCCTCCCCATATGAGACACTGAGAAGCACTATTACCTGCAATTAGGGCTTGATGGCTTGGGAAGGACTTTTCCCCCTCCACCCCACTTTCATCCTGATCGCTGGAGCACTTCAAAGGGAGTCGGAGCCAGTCCAGACTCACATGAGTGCACACACAGGGCATCTTCAGTGGTTTACATGGGCTGCACATCAAAGAACTTAAGCCCGTCTTCCCCTCCCACAGGGAAAGGAAGAGAAAGCAGCAGGAGGATCGCTGGGCCCTTTGCTGTTTTATTAAGGACTGGGCTAGCCCTGGCCAAAGAGCTGCAAGAAAATTCTGTCCCCCACACCTGCCCAGCACATCCCAACACCAGGGCAGCCATCAAATGCAAGGCCGAGGGAACTCTGATTGGTCTAGTAGTCTGTTGGGAACTGGCATCATCTCTCATACCAGTTCCCAGCCCATATCTCACCTGATAATGAGGGTAACTTTGGCCAATGGGATATTCCAGTTCCCATTTAGGGGTTCAGATGCCAAAATGAGAATCTGCCATTGCCATCCACACAGAAGCCGTTGTCCAGGGCCAGTCCGACTATTAGACAGAGTGAAGCAGCTACTGCAGACTACTGATTTCAAGTTTCATGGAAGGGCAACAATGGTTGTTATTCAATTTTTTATTGCTGCAGTTTTACTAACAGGGAGAGGAGGGGCACTGGGAGGATTTTCTTGTTCAGGTGCCAAAATAGCTTGACTTTGCAAGGGAAGGCTAGTATTTACTGCTTGCCTCAGGCAGTAAAATGTTTGGGCTGGACCAGCCATTGTCCCAGTATGTTACATCCTCAGGTTTGAGCAAGCTCAATAGCTCTGAAACTAAACTGGTATATAAAAATTGTTATTAATACAAATGAAATTCTAAGCAAAAGTTTTACATAGGTTGCTCATCCAAAAATATTATTACTGCGACAATGGCAGTGGACTAACATGAGCCATTTTGTGACACACCAACAGCCTGAAAAGTGATAAAACAAAACATAAACACACTTAATGATGAAACAATCCAAAATGAAAGAAAAGATAGTGGCAGAAGGTAAGAGTCCCAGATCAGAAAGCACTCAAGCTTTGGTGAAGAGCAAAGGGCATTCAAATAGCACTGTGCTAATGACACAACTAGATCGAAGAAGTCAAATGGCTGGTGTCCACAGTGGTGGAAGGAAAGTCCAGTGCTACATGGCACATACAAATTAACCTGGACCATGGTAAGTATGACTCAAGGCAAACTGGAAGCTGTAAAGCAAGGCATGGGGCAGTTAAGCATCACAGTACTTGGTGTGAGTGAATGAAAATGGATTGGAATGGGACACTTTCAGTCAGACGAATACAATGTGTTTTATTCTGGAAATGACAAACTTGGAAGAAAAGGAGTGACTCTAATACTGATGCAGGATAGGCAGTAAGAGGCTATAATGCAAAGTCTGACTGATTCACATCCATCAGAATTCTTGGAAAATCTACCAACATAACCATCATTTAAGTTGGTGCTCCAACAAAGGACGCTGAAGAAGAAATCAAAAATTCTATGCAAGCATCTAAAAGGAAACTGATAGCACACCAAAACAAGACAGGAGAAATGAGAGACCTCTTTCAGAAGATTCAAGAAATCAAAAGGAAATTCAAAGCTAGATTAGAAATGCTGAAAGACAGACAGGGGGACATCGTATTTGATCAGGATAAAGTGGAAACAATATACAAAAGAACTTTACAGAAGAGATGAAAGGATGATAGACTCCTTCAAAGAGGAATCCTATGAAGAAGAGTCTGTAATATTAGAAAGCAACATGGAAGCTGCTCTGAAAGCACTTTGAAGGAACAAAGCACCTGAACTAGATAGGGTACCAATAGAACTATTCCAAACTGCAGAAAACAAATCGGTCCAAAACCTAGCAACAATATGCCAACAAATATGGAAAACAGAGCAATGGCCCTCAGACTGGAAATGTTCAATAGACTTTCCAATCTCAAAGAAAGGATTTGCAAAGGAGTGTGACAACTACAGGAGTGTGACAACATTGCACTATTTCCCATGCAAGCAAAGTGATGCTCAAAGTGTTGCAACAAAGAATTTTTCCCTTTATGGTATGAGAAAACAATCCAGCTAGATTTCCAAAAGGGGTACTCAAGAACATATTTCAAATATACATTGGCTTCTGGAGTACACCAAAGCGTTTCAGAAGATCACTCTATGCTTTATGGACTATCTCAAGGTCTGTGTAGATCATTGGAAGCTATGGATGGTCCCAAAAGGAATGGATGTGTCTCACCACTTGCTTGTCCAGATAAGTAAATTGTATTATACACAAGAAACTACTAATAGGACAGAATATGGAGAAACAGATTGGTTCCCTGTAGGCAAAGGTGTCAGACATGGGTGTATTTAATCTCCCTATCTGTTCAATCTGTAAGGAGAACATATCATAAGGAAAGCTAGATTAGGATCAAACAAAGGAGGAATGAAAACTGGCAGAAGATAAATCTATAATTTAAATTCTACAGATTATCCCATATTACTGGCAGAACATTGCAATTAATTGAAAAAACTCCTGATGAAAGTGAAAGAAGTATGTGCAAAGCAGGACTGCATCTGACTATTAAGAAAAAAATCATTACTACAGAAGAATTATGCAACTTTAAAGTCCATGATGAAGAAGCTGAAATTGTGAAAGATTGCACATACTTCAGCTCAGTCATCAATTCAAATGGGGCCAAGAAATTTGAAGAAGACTGAGACTTTGAAGGACAGCAGTGAAGGAACTAGAAAAGATCATCAAATGTAAGGACATTTTGCTGGAGACCAAGGCCAAGATCATCCAAAATAAAGAGATTTATTCTCTATCACTATGCATGGGTATTAAAACTGACAGAAAGAAAATTGATGCATTCAAAACATGGTGCTGGAGGAATGCTTTGGGAATACCCTGGACTGACAAAAAGATGAAGAGGTAGCTCCTAGATCAAATCAAGCAAGAAGCAAAGCTGACAAAACTGAAACTGTTGTAGTTTGGGCATATCATGAGAAGGCAATCATGAGAAGACAATCATGATAGGGAAGGTTGAAGGCAGAAGAAGACTAAAGATGAGATGGACTTACCTTATAAAGGAAGCCTCAGCCTTGAGCTTGCAAGAGCTGAGCAGGGCT